TTGCTTTAAGAAAGGCAGGTATGGCAGGCCTTATAGATGGATTAGGCATTTCCTAACACTACCCACAGATCTTTAAGCACTAACACCTATATTAGCCACCAAACCCACAAATTAACCAACTCATCATACAATTATTTTGCACCAACAAAGCAATACCTAGCACTTACTTTCATCGACTCTGGTAGTGCTGGTTAATTTGTGGGTGTTGGTACCAAAAGATCTGGGATTTTTTTTTAAACAAATAATAATAAATAAATAAATGAATAAAAACTGCATTTCTAATTGCACAAATTAAAAACTTTAACGCTAAACAAATCATGATATATATGATAATCTAATTTTTCTTCAAATTTGTGATATTTCCTCACAGCAGCTACTGCTATTTATTACCTTTAGTTTCTTGACATATTTTTTTGCATATCTGTACTTCTGCAGCCAGGCCAATGATGGAGCACCTGATGTTTAACTCCTTCAAAGACTGAAAACAAATGGAAACAGTCTGATTGACAAAATATTTCACAAATCTGTTTTTTAGTTATGATTAACAACAATCTTTAAAAAGTTTCTCTTCAAATTAAAAAAAAAATTGTCGAGCTGTAGATAACAATGATTCTGCATCGCAAAATTATAGTAAATTTTTAGAAAATTAATGATTAAAAAACTGATAACTGCCCACTACTTATGCTGAAAAACAATGGGACAAAAAAAGTACTTGAAACAGAACATAAACAAAGTGCTCTAGGAAGGAGGAAGATTCTGAATGAAATGTTTTCAAATGACTAATTAGCAGTGTTCAAGGATTTCAGTAACTATACATCTGATTACATACTTAAACATTGTTGTGGTGGGTTATAAATTTCCATACCTTAACAGTTTCATAGATGTCCCCAGGATCACAAGTTGTCAAGCTTCCATAGATGATGAGAATTTCTCTACTGGCATGACCAGGCATGTGTCTGAAATGGTCATGTTGACATCTCTTTAAGTGTATCCAGCACAATGTGTACTTGTATCCAACACAATGTGTAAGTGTATCCAGCGCAACGTGTAAATGTATCCAGCGCAATGTGTAAGTGTATCCAGTGCATTGTGTAAGTGTATTCAGCACAATGTGTAAGTGTATCCAGCACAATGTGTTAAAAGTGTACTAAGGTTTTAAAATGGATATATCACAGACAAATAATAAGTCACAAAACTCACTTTTTTAAGACAATTTATGAAACAAAAATGCCCCTTTAAATATGAAACATACCGTAATGTTTGCATGGCAAGTTCTAAACTGTTCTGCAGAGATGGCTCTCCCTGGCATGGCTTCACTGCTAGTTTCTGTATTAGCTGGATATGTTTTCTGGGATTGCCTGTAAAAAAAACACTCCTTCACTTGAATCTTTTTTTTTTAACCTGTAGGAGTAATATGAATAATAAATTTCAAACGACTCATTTATTTCTCCAATTTTTCATGTCTTCAGAGAAATTAGACAAGGAAGTGTTCAAAGTGTCCACATTCTAATACAGAGTGAAAACTTTTCACTTTTTGTTATATTCATATAATCACCAACTTAGCTTCTCCATCCTAATCAATGACAAGAGCGGCCATGTTAGTCTATTAACCTGATTCCATTCAGCAAGAGTCCCCGTGGAGTTAGTGTACATTAGCTAGGACAACATTACTCATTCAGAAACGGTCCCATGAACACAGACAAAACTCCAAAATCTTTCTACGTTCTTTACCCACCTCCGAGCTCTGTCACTTTTTCTGCTCTCTTGTTTCTGGTGTCTATCACCCCCAGCTGACTGATGGGGTTCTGGTCAAAATACTCCTCTATGAAGCTTTCCAGCAACTACAGAAATAATCAATAAAAAGATTAGAGCAGACATTTGGAAAAGCAGACTAATAAATCCCCAGATCAAATATGGCCGAGTCTAAGTCACAAGACTTTGGGCCATCTGAAATTATTTACATTACGTACCACAATGACCCACTGACCTTTAGAGAAGACAATAGTCTGCTAGGCCTGAGATCCTGATCTTCCATAGACTCCGACATGTCAAGTACTAGAAATAGATGCCGCATCTACAAATATAATGATAATTTAAATAAGAATAAAATATGTATTGATGAACACGTTCACGGATTAGACTTACGTGTTTTTCAACTTTGTTGATTGAACTTGAGGACTGGAAGTGGCAAAAGTGTTTTATAAGGAGAATAAAGATTTCTCACTAAGGAGGATTTTGTACCATGACCACTTTTTAATCACTTTTAAACAAAAAAAGAAAAGTTTTAAGTAACAAAAAATAAGTGACATGTTTTATCTGGCACATAAATAAAAAATAAGGATATATATATATATTGTCAGTGTATAAAAATTCTATTCTCTAAAATCTCCGTATCATATACGTACCATCCCCAACCTGATGTTTGCCTTCTTCTCCAGCAGCCGTTTTCTCTTTCCTTTGTGAATGATGCCATCCACAGCTGTGCGGAGGGAACCTTCATCATCCTCTTGCAGAGCTTCCCTGTAGAGATATGAAATAAAGCTACAGAGTTATAGAACATGGACATAAAAGCCTCAATTTGTTGTATACAGGTCATGAAAATAAGGCTGTAGAGATATAGACTACGGACACAGGAGCTGAATGTGAGTCATTATTAAAATAAGGCTGTAGGGATATGAAAAAAAAAAAAAAAAGGCTATGGTGATAAAGACTAAAGGCAAAACTGGAACAAGCTAAACTGAATGTGTATTCGTTCTACATATTTTGCAATTAACGCTTTTCTTAATATTTATTTTATTTTTCAAAGATAAAAATCACGATTTTTTGTTTGATTATTATTATTTTTTTTTTTTCGGGACGGCGGTTGAAGGTGATTTTCCAACGTTAACTATATCTTTTACTTCAAACTCCAGCAATCTCAGTAAACATAAAAATAACTACACTGCAAGAGACCAAAACACAACCGGTCAGGATAGTCGCTGGGGGAGGGGGGGGGGGCGGTGGGGGGGGGGGGGGCAAGGTTTTCTTTCACAGTTTAAATACTTCACTGGTTATAACGCAAGGTCACAACAAGTAATTAGTTAGTCACATACTCAGCTCTACATGTGATGTTAATAAATCACGTAAACGATGCCTTCTTACCAAGTTCTCTCATATTCGTTTTCCCACGTGTATCCTTGATCGACTTCGTCGTCCGCCATGTTTACATTTGTGTGGTCAATGTAAATAACAATTAGTTTCGTAATAATTTTCATATGTAACATTTAGCAAAAATTTGATCATTCATCAAAATTTATCTATGTAGTGTTTTGAAATATATATTCTGCATGTTGATTTTTAAAAACCAAAATATTACTTTCCATTGCTGTATACGAAATAAAATAATGAAAAATTTGTGTCTTTGCGTCCGAGAACTAAGGGTGACATCTACGTTCGCCTCCTTGAATTTTGCCTTAAGAAGATGCCGTAGTCAATTTGTTAATCTGTATCTCAGTCGCAGAATGTTAAGAATTCTTCGTGGTTCTTTTGGGTAAGCAAATGTGACTTTTGAGCTCATCATTCTTATGTGAACCATGGCATGCCGCATTGCAGACCAACGTGACATTTCAGATTTCAGTTCCGACGCAATCGAAGGCTGTTTCTTGAGTTCGCTGACGAAATTTAAGTAGAACGTTAACGTGCATCTAGTCATCTCTTTTGCTTTTATACATTTGTGATATATTATTTACCAACATGCAGACTGATGCTATGATCAAATACATCAACTTCTGTGGCGGTTTTCGAAAAAAAATTTACACATAAAAAAACGCCATTTTTTACCCTTCTTACACTCACTGCACGAGCAGAATATTTGTAAAGAAGACATTCTGATGTTCAACCTACATTTTAAAAAGTCTACCCTTTATAGTATATTTGTACCTGTCAGTGCCATTACTGTTGCAGCAACCAATTTTCACATTTAGAAACAAATTAAACTTGATAAAAGTCAAAAATTAAGAAAAGAAATTCATTGTTTTCCAGCCCTGGCTGCCAGGCATGCCTAAAGAATCACATGAAGGCGTGCGCGGATGCACAGAAAACACTGGCCCACAAGAGGGCGCTACTTACCTACACTGGTTTGGCGGGGAAGAACTCTGCGCTACACTTTACACAGAACCACCAGCCCTCAGGGTATAGGCAAACCACTTCATCCTTGGGGTACACTAGGAGTGTTCTGTTAAAGAGCACACTACTATCAGTTGGGGGTCAGTATTTTTTACTGTAGATCTGTGTGCTTGTTATCCCCGCACTTTTGGGACAAAAGTCGGGGATCATGTTATTTAGTATTTTTATGATTATTATTATGCCTTATTTTTTGTTATTTTACTGTGGAAAACCCCACTATTTTCCCATTCTAAAGATCTTACTGTTTCAATGTATTTTGCCTCATCATATAGTTAAGAAAAAGGTTTACAAAAAAGATTTCACAGTGTAACTTTTTTCTTTAAAGAAATGCACAATAAAGGAGTAAAATTTTCAAGAGAAGATGCAGTTCTTGCAGCTGGATTAAAATGGTTTGCAGTATAACTTCTGATGGTGTAGTCTGATTTTCAGGTGTTAGACATGTGAATACCAAACAACAGTACAAAATACCAAAGGTGCTGAAGATTGGCCAATCCACAGTGGCAATGGGACGCGGGCTGATAACACTTGTATTGGGAACTGCCACCACACTCATAATAGTGAAGGTGATCTTCTTTCATGATAATATGACTGTTCAGTTTTTAGATTTTTGTTTTATTTCTTAACTTTTAAATAAGATATGTAAACTTAACTGAAATTTTACTTTTCAGATTTACTTAATTTCTCAGGCATTATTATTTTGGAATAATATATTATTATTTGATATATTTTAATTCAGTTATTATAATATTTGAAAATTATGTTTTGGAATTTTAATGTATGTGAAAACAGTTATTATCATGATTATCATTATGGATTTAAAGATGAACTTTCAGTTCCAAAATAGATATGTTGGAAGCATGGTAGAGATTTAATATTTTTAGTTTCACTAGCGTTGGTAAAGTCCTTAACCTGTTTCAAGATAAAACAAATAAAGGCAGCAACCTCTCCAAAATCTTTGAAAGTCCATCCCAGAGATCACAGCATAAACAAATGTCTTGTGTTTTCCAAGATTAATACGTAATATATGATTGTATATTAATTTTTTTCTCTCCATGTAGACATATGTATTATGGAAAGACAAGGTACCAGATATGGGCTGGGTAAAACCTACCATGGAGAAGTGGAAAAGCAACACGGTGAAGTCTCTGAGGACGGCTTCGGAGATTACTTCAAGGACGTTGGCCACCATGTCTAACGATGCTGCCAGTCTAATGGTAGGAATGAAATCTAGGGGTGGAATGAAGGGTGTGAATTTTAAGTTCTCCAACTTTTTTTTTTCCTGTGTCTGTAACATTTTTGTCACTTACCTCTAAAAAAACTTATAGCTATAAACTGTATGTTCATAAAAATAGAGTGTCACCTCTGTTATGTTTTTAATACCTGTATTATGGTAGTGACTCAATTGTTTCAATGGGGAAAATTGTGAATTTCACAGATTTTTTTTTTTTTTTTTTTTTTTTTTTTTTTTTTTAGGCACTAATTCTAAAAATTAGAACATTTTATTGAGTAGTAGCAACCAAAATGAAAAAACAGGCTACGATGCTTCCAAGAACTGCACAGAAATATATTTTCAATGATTCCAAAATTGTGTAACAGAAAGATTGATATTTATTCCCCCCCCCCCTTGAAAGTCATTACTGTAACATAACATTTAATTACTTTTTTACTCCAGGTCACCGTAAAGAATAATTTGCCAGGGTTGTCATCTCTGAGGGATGCTTTAGAAAATATGTCAGACAAGGGAGAAATAGGTAATATTTTTCTCTTTTTTCCTTGGGAGCATTAATGTAGCACTTGTCATACAACTGCTGGGCTCAGTTTCATCAACATTGGCTAACACTGGCTATGGATAAAATTGGTATCTTCTTTTCAGTTATCTGGAGAATAGAGTAATGTTTCACAAACACTGGAATCTTCTTTTGTCTCTGACATTAACATCCAGTGGTTACATATTGCTGTTATCCTCAGGATAACTGTTCAGAGGATAACAATCCTATCCAATGGACAGCATTATCCATAGGACACCAGTATTCACTTGATGAAATTTAATAGGCCCAGTGGGGAAGGAGTTTTGAAGTACATGATGTCAACTACTGTAGCCATAATCAAAGTTGCTTTTTAATGTGTTTAACCTAGTTGCTTTTACTCATTTAACCTTTGTGCACATGGACTTTTTCCCTTTATTTGACCCCAATTTGAAAATTGACCTCGTTGAGATTATTTAGAACAGCGGACTTACAGATCTACGAATCAAATATGGCAGACCTGATTAAATGCTTGTTGTGTAATCCTCACGTGGAATCTCTTCAGTATATAATTGGGAATTGAGCAGCAAGCTTCTTAGTGGGTCGCCATATTTGATCCGCAGATATGTAAGTCCGCTGTTCTGAGTGCGCACATTGTGTCATGTGACCTCTAAAAATATAACCTTGCCCTTATTTGTTACTATTTTGTATATATTTCACAGGGAAGAAGCAACATTTAACAACCTCAGGCAAAGGTTTGTAGAATTCAAGAATCAAGAGAGAAGTTAGTTATAGAACATATAATATATTATTTTTTATATTCCTCAGATTTTTTTATGTCTAAAGTAACTAAGTAAGATTTGAAATATGTAGTTCAACGAAAAATTTTGGTCATGTTTAAATGATCTCATTTTAAACCTGCCATTAAATTTGGCAGTTTATCTCAATGACTTTCTTACTGTGATTCAGAAATTGGAGACTAACTTCAAATTTGAGTGCTGTTCATTCAAAATTATTAGTTTCTAGATTTTTAGATTTAAAAATAAACTGTCGCAAAGTAGTTGTATAATTTCTTGAATTCTGCACCTGCTCTTACCAAGCCTGTGTACTTTTTCTACAGTGCTTGTGGTGGCCTTGTGTGTGCTACATACTATTTATTTATTTATTTATTTATTTATTTATTTATTTATTTATTTATTCAGTTATTTATATATTTATTATTATTTTTTGCATTCACAGCATATACAGTAGTAAAGCTCAGTTGCCCTGTCATATAAAATTTATTTAAAGAAAAGTTACTTTAAAGTTTCATATGAAGTCAAATCTTTACAACTAAACCTGACCAAATGTCACCATTTAGTAACATATAAAATATTAACTTAAAGTGAACTACTTCCCACATTGGCTACTTATCAAAAGTAGATATTTGAACAGATGTTTTCTGCTTTCTTTCTGTGCTTTGTGTGTCATTTTAAAGCTATTTTTGGCTGACCTATTTATTTAATAATATTTGGTTTATTTGTTGGCATGTCGACATTAGAGTCGTATAACAAACTAGTAAAAGTGGTTATGTGTGTTACAAGGAATCTACTCTCGCTTCATATGTAACTTTAAAGTTTGTAAACAATATAACCATGCGCCCTTTTTTCGTTTCACAAAGATTTAAGGAAAAATACCCCCTCCCTTTAAAGAATCTTAAATGAGTAAGTTGCGTTCATCAAAAGAACCACAGACTACTTACTGTACATTTTGTGGTCTCATAATTATTTTATGTTAATATGACAGATTTAACCTTAGACACTCCAGGATCAATTTCTGTATTTAATGCTATGGCAACTCCAACAGATTACGACAAAGCTGCTGAAAAACCAAAGGTAGGCATATTGTTCTTTCTTTTTTATTTAGGGAACAATTATTTGTTAGTCCAAGTGTTCTCACATGGTTTTAGAACACTCCAATTTTGAAGCAGCAATTATCATTTAGCAATGGGGTAACCATGCTGTTTTCTAAGAAGTGGGTTTTAAAATCAATACCAGAATTCAATTTGATAGTGATTCAGTTAATAGCAACATTTTCAGATTAACGGTGTTGGCCATTCAATTGAACAACTTGACCTGATTATTATTTCAGAATCTCCAGTGAATACAAGTGAGATAATAAATAATGAGTCTTCTTTCAAAATTTAGTCTGTAGTATTATAATAAACAAGCTTACTCTTCATTTTTTTTTATTTTCTGTTTGTTATTGATTAATCGATTTATTCATTTAGCTTAATAAATTGATTTATATATGTCAGGAAAAATCATTTTTAAGTAATTTTCCTGAAATAGAAAAATTAATTTATTAATCTAAATAAATAAAAAAAACCCAAATAAATAAATAAATGAAAATCCTTTCACTTTAGACAGAGAAACAGAGGCTGGAGGCAGCCCAGGAAGAGATGATGCAGGTTCAGCTGAGGTACCAGAAGGAGGTGGAGAGATTGGAGAAAGAAAACAGGGAGCTGAAGAAACAGCTATTGCTACTGAAATCACAGAAGACGGGCAAAAAGAGGACCATGAAGGTGGGTAGAGCTTGAAATTGGGGATTGATAATGAAAGATAAGAAAGTAAAGGCATGACTGTACTTGCAGCCTTGGCATAAATGAAACTGATTTAAAATTAGATGCAGTGTATTGCAATCTCTTTGGCGACATTTTGTAGTAACAGCTGTATTTTTTGAAAAAAAATTTTTTTCTATCTGTCTTTCCATAAATTTTTATGTACAGACACAGATGTGTCTGTACATATTGCCATCACCTGCGTCTGTCGTCGCCGTCGCCGTCGCCGTCGCCGATCATGTCGCCGTGCACTTTCAGCGTTAACACCATAAGCGGAAGACAGTTTTACTTTTTGGTTTTATATTAACAGAGCTGACTAATATTCATAAAACGCAGGTCAAGTTCGAAAATCAGCATGATCGGGCCATTATTGAAGAATTTATGCTGTTTTTTCANTTTTTTTTTCTTTTCAGACACCGTTCAGACGACAAAGGATCGGGCACAATTAAAAGTCAGTGTCAAAGGGGAATGTGAGCTCGGTGTGTTAACCGAGAAATATGGCGTGCAACCCGCCAGGTTGTATTATTGCCATGCCATCTTCTCAAGCTCTTTCACAACAATAGCAGGTTTTACCCATTGCCCGACAGAAAATCACTCCATTATTCCTCCAGCTCAAATATTGCGAATTTAATACCAGTCTTTTGCAGTTAGAATTTTTGCGTATGTGATTTAACTCACGTAATGGTTAACTGGCTACATAAAAACTCTGTAAAATACTAAAAAATGTTAGGAACATCTTTAATAATTGAAACGGAGCTTTATAGACAAATATTAATTATTTTGCGACAAGTGCACTTGAAGATACTCATCAAGAGAAAAGTATCTATTGCACAGCCGTATCTATTCAAGGTTACCAAGGGAAACCAAATAGTGAAAAATCGACTCCGCCGACGTTCTTATGTTGTCAGTTTGTACAGGTTGCTCACGGATAGTGGAGATTCCGAGTCCATTAGTCTCATTAAATACCATAATAATATGTCGCGAGAGAGAGAGAGAAAGAGGGGGGGGGGGAGAAACGCATTAGAGACAGAGGGAGGCCTTAGAGAGAGAGAGAGAGAGAGAGAGAGAGAGAGAGAGAGGGGCATTAGAGAGAGAGGGAGAGGGAGGCCTTAGAGAGAAAGAGATAAAGAGAGAGAGAGAGAAGGGGGGAGAAATGCATTAGAGACACAGAGAGAGAAAGAGAGAGAGAGGGGCATTAGAGAGAGAGGGAGAGAGAGGCATAAGAGAGAGAGATAAAGAGAGAGAGAGAAAGAGGGGGGAGAAATGCATTAGAGACAGAGGGAGGCCTTAGAGAGAGAGAGAGAGAGAGAGAGGGGCATTAGAGAGAGAGGGAGAGAGAGGCATAATAGAGAGAAAGAGATAAAGAGAGAGAGAGAGAGAAGGGGGGAGAAATGCATTAGAGACAGAGAGAGAGAAAGAGAGAGAGGGGCATTAGAGAGAGAGGGAGAGAGAGGCATAAGAGAGAGAGAGAGAGAGAGAGAGAGAGAGAGAGGGGGAGAAACACATTAGAGACAGAGGGAGGCCTGAGAGAGAGAGAGAGAGAGAGAGAGAGAGAGAGAGAGAGAGAGAGAGAGCACAAAACAGAGCAAGAATTGGAAAAAGAGAAGGGAAACAAATGCATATTTTTCAGAAAAAGCCAAATTAATAGAGAACAGTACCCAACTTGAAATCAAAATGGTTATTAACTGAGGCAAAATAATCATGATAGTAATAATAAAACTAACTGAAAAAAAAAGGACAGCACATAGTTCAAACTATATCTGTATTAGCCCAGTATGACGTTGAGATCCATTAATATTCCAGATAGTGGTGGTTGGAGACCAGAGTTCAGGGAAGACCAGTGTTCTTGAAATGATAGCTCAGGCCAGGATATTCCCCAGGTGAGAGGATGAAAAGTTATTTTATTTATTTTTAGTATCCAGGGATAGGAGAGCTCACTAGCTCACTTAGCAGGCAGCATTGTCAGTCCGCATGCGTAGTGAATGCTGATGTGCCCAAACTAACCAGTGGTTAATGGTTAATAAATCATTTCCAACATTCAAAAATAGTATTTTTTAAAAATTATTTTACAATTATTGTTATTATGTATCCCTTTTACATGGTAAAATTTCTTTACCAGAGGTTCTGGAGAAATGATGACCAGGTCTCCAGTGAAAGTGACCCTCAGTGAAGGACCCTACCACGTGGCACAGTTCAAAGACAGCTCCAGGGAGTTTGACCTGTCCAAGGAAGCCGACGTAAGCACTGCTGCTCTATATAAAGGATTAAAAAACAAATGTATGATATAAACCTTCTGTGGTGGCAGTGGCAGTGGTCTCTTATAAATTGAAGTTCATCAACTAAATTCATTGATGGTCAGTTGTTCATAAACCACTCTTATAGACCAACATTACAAAGTCAACTTTGTTGTGATAATAAGATTTGATGCAATTATTATTATTATTATTATTGTGTTCTAATTTAGTTGGCAGCCCTACGCAAAGAAGTTGAGATCCGTATGAAAGCTAGTGTACCAGATGGCCAGACAGTCAGCAGTGATGTAAGTACCCGAGTTATTACCTAAAATAATGAACTTTGAAAAATAAGGTAAATAGGATAGAAAGATAAATAAAAGCTGTGAACCAGACAGACAGACAGACAGACAGACAGTCAGCGGTGATGTAAGTACATAGGTTATAACTTACTGAACTTTGAAAAATAACATAATAATATAAGATGGAAAGATAATAAGAGCTGTGTACCAGAAGGACAGACAGCTTTGATTTATAATTATAACTTGCTGAACTATGAAACGCAGAAAGGAAGCCGTCCAGTGTAAAGAAGGCTTACACATCTTGATGTTTAGAAAAGAAAAGACTCATATTATAGATCTTTAATTGATGATATTATTGTTCTGCATTTTTGTCACAGGTTATATCAATGACAGTGAAGGGACCAGGGCTACAAAGAATGGTACTGGTGGATCTGCCTGGCATAATAAGTGTAGGTATTACAAAAACGGATATTTGAACTGTGTGTGTGTGTGTGTGTGTGTGTGTGTGTGTGTGTGTGTGTGTGTGTGTGTGTGTGTGAACATTAGTTTTGATTTTATAAAATTGTGAATGAATTAATGCATACTGATACTTGATAAAACATATATTGGGACTGTAGATTTATGTGGTGCTGGTTGAGATATATTATGACCGTTATATAAATGTGAAGTGAGTTTTATCAGTTATGATTTATCATTATTTCAGATATTTCTTTAGCATTTTAACTTTATCAAAATAATTGCCATGGGGACTGTAGCCAGAAAAATATTTTAATTGATTTTTTAAAATTTATTACAATATTGGATGTTGCATTTATCATGTTTTTCATGTGTGTCTCATCTTGTAGTGCTCCCCCTATCTTTCAGACGGTTACCACAAATATGGCTTCTGATACAAGAGATTCCATTAAAACTATTTGCAAGAACTACATGGAGAACCCCAACTCCATCATACTGTGCATACAGGGTATGCTTGTTACTTTGGTTATCTAAAATGCCGCTTAGAAGTCCATTAAAAGTTTGAGTTAATTTTAATTTGATATTTGTGATAATTGATTTATCCATGTTATATTTATATTTGCTCAGTGAAAAAGATCAACTAGAGTCTTAATTCCAGGTTAAGAAAACTTATTTACAAAATAAATATGTCGGCATTTTTGGAGCTGTTTTAGAAATACAAGTAAAACTCCATGAACGAATTCACCAAATTTCTGCACCATTTAGTAATAAATTAATTTCCTCAATGTTGAAATGCTATCACCATACTCTATTGTAAAGAAAAAGTATATTCTCACCCTGACACTTGTTTCTGTCTCTCACAGATGGCTCCCTGGATGCAGAGAGAAGTAACGTGACTGACCTGGTCAGTTCCATGGACCCTCAGGGCAAGAGGACGATATTTGTACTGACCAAGGTGGACCTGGCTGAAACCAATTTACTGAATCCTGAGAGGGTGAGAGCATTACGTTTAGATTCGATTTGGATGCGTCATTATTGCTGTCCACTTTTCATCCTAAACACATAAGTGGATAGCTGTGTGACTCATTGTAGTAATCCTCAAACTTACTGTTGTGGTTCTAGGAGAAAAATATGCCATGAGTTCAAAGAACTCATTTGATTCTTTATCATAGAGTTGTGCAGTATTTTATCATTTATTATCATTTTGTGAATTTTATATTTTTCATTTATTCTTATCTCTCAGATCAAGCAGATACTGGAAGGAAAGTTGTTTCCGATGAAGGCTCTGGGATATTTCGCTGTGGTAACTGGAAAAGGTAGGCAAAGATCCTTTTATCATAAACTCTGTATAGTTTCTTTACAGAAGGAGAAAGTGAATGTTCTAAGCATTTACGAAGCATTTCATGCAGTTAATAAAATTTAATAATGTTTCTGTACAACATAGGCTTTAGTTAGATGTCAAATAATTTCAGGACAACATTTTTCTAGTAAAACTATGTAATATGTTTAATATTTCATGTGGTATGGAAAGAGAATTGATTTAAGCAGTTGTGCCTTTATAAGGTTTGAATGGAAGAGGCAGCAATTTTTTTAAAGATAAAAAATGTTAGGGAGGGGAATTAATCTTTATGATATTTTTGTTTCCAGGAAATGCTAATGACAGCATCCAGATTATCAAAGAATATGAAGAAAACTTCTTCAGAAATTCAAAACTTTTTAGGTAAGTAAATTTGAATGGAATAAAATTTAACGGAATATTTGGCCTGGGATTTAAGTCCAACTTTCGTTTAATAAGTTTTTTNGCTGGATGAACTGTCAGGCTTTGATTCCAGTTACAACACACAGGATCATCTTCCAAGGGTGAGGAGAGAGAAGCATTGGAGAGAGAGAGAGAGAGAGAGAGAGAGAGAGAGAGAGACAGAGACAGAGACATAAGAGAGAGAGATAAAGAGAGAGAGAGAAAGGGGGGGGGAGAAACGCATTAGAGACAGAGGGAGGCCTTAGAGAGAGAGAGAGAGAGAGAGAGAGGGGCATTAGAGAGAGGGAGAGAGAGGCATAAGAGAGAAAGAGATGAGAGAGAGAGAGAAGGGGGGAGAAATGCATTAGAGAGAGAGAGAGAGGGGCATTAGAGAGAGAGGGAGAGAGAGGCATAAAAGAGAGAGAGAGAGAGGGGGGGAGAAACGCATTAGAGACAGAGGGAGGCCTGAGAGAGAGAGAGAGAGAGAGAGAGAGAGAGAGAGAGCACAAAACAGAGCAAGAATTGGAAAAAGAGAAGGGAAACAAATGCATATTTTTCAGAAAAAGCCAAATTAATAGGGAACAGTACCCAACTTGAAATCAAAATGGTTATTAACTGAGGCAAAATAATCATGATAGTAATAGTAAAACTAACTGAAAAAAAAAGGACAGCACATAGTTCAAACTATATCTGTATTAGCCCAGTATGACGTTGAGATCCATTAATATTCCAGATAGTGGTGGTTGGAGACCAGAGTTCAGGGAAGACCAGTGTTCTTGAAATGATAGCTCAGGCCAGGATATTCCCCAGGTGAGAGGATGAAAAGTTATTTTATTTATTTTTAGTATCCAGGGATAGGAGAGCTCACTAGCTCACTTAGCAGGCAGCATTGTCAGTCTGCATGGGTAGTGAATGCTGATGTGCCCAAACTAACCAATGGTTAATGGTTAATAAATCATTTCCAACATTCAAAAATAGTATTTTTTTAAAAATTATTTTATAATTATTATTATTATGTATCCCTTTTACATGGTAAAATTTCTTTACCAGAGGTTCTGGAGAAATGATGACCAGGTCTCCAGTGAAAGTGACCCTCAGTGAAGGACCCTACCACGTGGCACAGTTCAAAGACAGCTCCAGGGAGTTTGACCTGTCCAAGGAAGCCGATGTAAGCACTGCTGCTTTATATATAAAGGATTAAAAAACAAATGTATGATATATACTTTCTGTTGTGGCAGTGGCAGAGGTTTCTTATAAATTGAAGTTCATCAACTGAATTCATTGATGGTCATTTGTTCATAAACCACTCTTATAGACCAACATTACAAAGTCAACTTTGTTGTGATAATAAGATTTGATGCAATTGTTATTATTATTATTATTATTATTATTATTATTATGTTCTAATTTAGTTGGCAGCCCTACGCAAAGAAGTTGAGATCCGTATGAAAGCTAGCGTACCAGATGGACAGACAGTCAGCAGTGATGTAAATATCTGAGTTATTACCTAAAATAATGAACTTTGAGAATTAAGATTATAATATAAATAAGATAGCTGAACTAAGAAATGCAGAAAGGAAGCCGTCCAGTGTAAAGCCGGCTTAAACATTTTGATGTTTAGAAAAGAAAAGACAGATATTATAGATCTTTGATAGGTGATATTATGTTTCTACATTGTTGTCGCAGGTTATATCAATGACAGTCAAGGGACCAGGGCTACAAAGAATGGTACTGGTGGATCTGCCTGGCATTATAAGTGTAGGTATTACAAAAATGGATATTGGAACTGTTTGTGTGTGTGTGTGTGTGTGTGTTTGAACGTTAGTTTTGATTTTATAAAATTGGGAATGAATTTTTAAAAAACTATACTGATATACTTGAAAATGCATATTGATTCAGTGATACTTACAAAACATGTTGGGACTGTAGATTTTTTAAATTTTATTTTAACAGTAGCTTTGATTTGATAAAATTTGAGAGTGAATTTTTAAAAAGTCAGGATACTCTATGACAGTCTCTGATGTCATATATATGTGGCACTGGTTGAAATATATTATTGTTATATAAATTTGAAGTGAGTTTTATCAGTTATGATTTAACATTATTTCATAAATATATTTAACATTTTAACTTTATCAAAATAATTGCCATGGGGACTGTAGCCAGAAAAATAATTTAATTGATTATAATATTGGATGTTGCATTTATCATGTTTTTCATGTGTGTCTCATCTTGTAGTGCTCCCCCTATCTTTCAGACGGTTACCACAAATATGGCCTCTGATACAAGAGATTCCATCAAAACTATTTGCAAGAACTACATGGAGAACCCCAACTCCATCATACTGTGCATACAGGGTATTCTTGTTACTTTGGTTATCTAAAATGCTATTTAGAAGCCCATTAATAGTCTGAGTTAATTTTAACTTGATTTCTGATATGTGATCATTGATTTATCCATAATTTTATAAATATCTGCTTATATAAACTAAAAGTCTTATTTCCAGTTTAAGATAACACATTTACAAAATTAATAGGTCAGCATTTCTGGAGCTGTTTTAGAAAATCAGCTTTAACTCAGTGAATAAATTTCCAATTCCAAATTTCTGTACCATTTACCAATAAATTAATTTCTTCAATGTTGAAATGCTATCACCATACTCTATTGTAAAGAAAAAGTATATTCTCACCAAGAAACTTATATCTGTCATTCACAGATGGCTCCCTGGATGCAGAGAGAAGTAACGTGACTGACCTGGTCAGTTCCATGGATCCCCAGGGCAAGAGGACGATATTTGTACTGACCAAGGTGGACTTGGCCGAAACCAATTTACTGAATCCTGAGAGGGTGAGGGGGTTATATTTGAACTTAGTTTGGATGCGTCATTATTGCTGTCCACTTTTCACCCTAAACACAATAAGTGGATAGCTGTGTGACTCATTATGGTAATCCTCAAACTTACTGTAGTGGTTCTAGGAGAAAAATATGCCTTGAGTTCAAAGAACAGCCTCATTTGATTCTTTATCTCAGAGTTGTGCAGTATTTTTATTATTATCATTTTGTGAATTTTATATTTTTCATTTATTCTTATTTTTCAGATTAAGCAGATACTGGAAGGAAAGTTGTTTCCGATGAAGGCTCTGGGATATTTTGCTGTGGTAACTGGAAAAGGTAGGCAAAGATCCTTTTGTCATAATCTCTGTATAGTTTCTTTACAGAAGGAGAAAGTGAATATTCTAAACATTTATCAAGCATTTCATGCAGTTAATAAAATTAAATAAAGTTTCTGTACAAAATAGGCTTTAGTTAGATGTCAAATAATTTTAGGACAACATTTTTCTAGTAAAACTATGTAATATGTCTAATATTTCATGTGGTATTGAAAGAGAATTAATTTAAGCAGTTGTGCCTTTATAACTCTCTTGACCTAATAAGGTTTGAATGGAAGAGGCAGCAATTTTTTAAAAGATAAAAAATGTTAGGGAGGGGAATAAATCTTTATGACCTTTTTGTTTCCAGGAAATGCTAATGACAGCATCCAGATTATCAAAGAATATGAAGAAAACTTCTTCAGAAATTCAAAACTTTTTAGGTAAGTAAATTTGAATGGAATAAAATTTAACGGAATATTTGGCCTGGGATTTAAGTCCAACTTTCGATTAAGAAGTTTTTGTGATAATTGGTACAGTAATGCTTTGTGTTCTGTCATATCATGATTGAGGTGTTTTGCAGGGACGGAGTTTTGAAACCCACACAGATGACCACCCATAACATGAGTTTCGCTGTGTCCGAGTGTTTTTGGAAGATGGTGAAAAACACAGTAGAGAACCAGGCAGACGCTTATAAAGGTAAAACACAAGTAACATCATAACAACTCCACAAATTAAAACAAAATTATATTTTTATATTAAGGTAAATAGTTTTTTAAAGAGACTGAAGTGGTATTTTTTTTACTTATAAGAAATCCAGAATTCTTCAGAAACAATTTGATATGTTTTTCTGCCCTGGACAATAAAGACAGTGGACAATGTAAAATATTTTTCACCAAAAAGGATGTTCATTAGTCTTCTTGCAGTGATGATTTGGTATTATAAGGTGATGAGATAATTGCAAAAAGTCATTTGGTGTGTATCTTTTTCAGCAACGAGGTTCAACTTAGAGACGGAGTGGAAGAACACCTTCCCCAAAATGAGAGAACTGGACAGGGTAAGTGAAAGCTATATTCCTAGATATTTTGAATGTAAAAAAATGAATTTTTTAAAGAAATTTTGTTTTTCACTGCAATTGGTTTGTAATTGGTTTAGATTAAAAATCATAAGTAATACAAAATATGGTTTTCAGAATATCATATCCTAATATTAGTATTCCTTTAATACAGGAGGAACTGTTTGAAAAGGCCAGAGGAGAAATTTTAGATGAAGTTATAAATCTAAGTCAAGTTACCCCCAAGCACTGGTAGGGTTACATTTTCACATTTGGATATTTACAGGATGAAGATTTTCCATACTTACAAAACATTTTTTATCCAAAAGCTCATTTCTCTAAATAACTTAAATGCATGCTTCACTGCAGAACTTTCTTTATTTTCTGAATGAGTGTATTTTTTATTTCTAGTCAATACATTTTTTCTGACAATTGTGATTATTTTTATTATCTAGCCAAGTACCAAACTTGGTACTCACACTATTTTTTTCCAAGTTGTACAAAAGAGGATAAACGTCAACTAAACTTTCAGGGAGGAGTCATTCCAGAAAAAGCTCTGGGAGAAGACTGCCACCTATGTATTTGAGAATATCTACTTACCTGCAACTCAGGCTCCCAGTGTTGGGTAAGTTGGGTAATCAAATTTCCAAAAATTAATATGTAGGAATCCAGTATTTCCCAGAAATACTATGTGCAGATCCCAGCTTTTCAGAAAATGGTATCTGGGAATTCCACTTTTACCAGATATTGGTTCCTGGGAATCCCACCTTTCTCAGAAATGGTGCGTGAGAGTCCCAGCCCCCTCCCCCCTTCTCTCTCTCTCAGCTGAACTAAATAAGGAAAATTTAAAAACTAAATAACAACACCATTATGTTGATAAAATTCAGAGGTACCAAAAATTTTCATTGCCTTTAGCAGCTTGGATCATAAAATTGACAGATTTTGTTTATTCACTTTTTAAAAAAAATGTCATATTTAACTATCCAGCACATTCAATACAATGGTGGACATCAGGCTGAAGCAGTGGGCTGAGAAGATGCTGCCAAAGTGCTGTGTAGAGGTAGGCTTTGTCACATTCAGATTTCTGTAACTTGTCTTGCCAATAGATGGACAAAGAATTTGTATTCTTGGTTTACTCAGGTTTTGCAGTTGATTACAGAATGGCCCAGACCTTATTGTTTTTCAAAATTAAAATGATGGATTCAGCTCCCACCCTAATCAGTTAGGGAATTAGCACTAATGATGTTTAAAAGCACTTTTAATTGTCCCAAATTGTACTATAATTTGATCCCTAAGTTCGCAGTGGGGAGAGGGGAAGAGGTGAAAGTGTATTTGGGCCTGCCTCTCTTCTTGGATTTTCTTGTTCTAGCAATGATTCCTGTTTTTACTTTTCACCAGGTTGGCTGGGATACTCTAAAACAGGAATTCTCCAGGTTTGTGGAAGAAGACCAGAAAAGCAAAGATCATGATCCGATTTTTGACAACCTTAAGGCAAGCGTCATCAATGAAAGTTTGGAGAAACACGAGTGGGACTCAAAGGCAGAAGAAAGTTTGGTAGGTTTTAAGAGAGGCAAATTAATTTAATTCAGCTTCTTGAAAATAAGTCAGTTCCACAAAGAAAAATCTTGTCAAGTAAAATAGTTTAATGATCAGTACATTGTTTTTTATCATTGAAAAGGAGATTTTTAAGGGGTTTGAACTAACCATCCTTTTAGTCTACAAAAGTTCCACTTCGAATCAAAATTTGATCCAAGTTCTGTGATTTAAAAGAAACACATGTAAGAAAAGCTTGACCTATTCAATGCTTTCGAAGACTCAGCCACCATGCCCAACACCTTTTTCTCCCAGTCACATAATTGATTCTTTTTCGTTTGGTCCCAGCGAGTTATCCAGCTGAACGCATTAGAAGACCGTTCTGTTCATGACAAGACACAGTGGGATGCTGCCATTCAGTTCATGGAGGAGGCCCTGAAGGAGAAGTTACAGCAAAGTAAGTATATGGAGTGGTGTACGTACATTATTGCTTGATTTACCCATTATTACTAGAGTTGTAAAACACTGCAATGTGATTTGTAATGTGATAGATAGGAGATTCAATTTGGTATTTACTAAAACTTACAGACATTGAATCTTTCTTTTTCATGAAAAAAAAATGCTTCTCCTTAAGTGTCAGAGCTATGCAGAGTTGGCAGTTTTTTTATCATATTATTTATTTATTATTCAGGATGTGTATTGATTTAAGGAGGTTAATGGTAGAGTCCAGCTGATAATGCAATACTTCTTTGCTATTTTGGACAATATCGAGAAATATATTCCTATATACCTCAATATTTATATTTTTGCCTCGGTGCTTTATCCTCTCACAAAATATACAATGTCATGTGACACAGCTTTAGCCAATCAGAGAGGGCGTACTTACCAGTATAATGAGGTATATTATTATATATTGACTACCTGCAACCATTACACTTTGTTTCAGCTGAAGAAGTTTTAAAGAAGATGACAGGCCCAGGAGGAAGGGAACAGTGGCTCTACTGGAAGTACAGGACACAAGAACAGAAGAACAGAGCCGACACTAAAGGAGAGTTAGAAAAGATGTTAAACTCTGAAAAGGTGAGTAGAACATTCTTAGGCATTTCTGTGGCATATATTGAATTATTATTGATTTGGAGGTGAAGGAATTGACTTGGAAAGTTGTTTTGTGATGTTGTGAATGTGGAAACGCAGAAAAGGGGTTGCTTGCCTTTTTAATTTTCCTTTTTAATGAAAGAGTGGAAATCTTTACTTTTTTTTCACATAATATTAGTTGCAACACTGATTGGTTTTATCTTTCAAAATGGCAATGATATGTACAATTGTTTGTTTTAGAAGCATGGCCCCCAGCTACAGCAGGATGAACTCACCACAGCAAGGAAAAACCTGCAGGCCAAGGGAGTGGATGTAGACAACACTTTTGTGAGTGTTTATGCAGCACGTGTGTGTGTGTGTGTGTGTGTGTGTGTGTGTGTGTGTGTGTGTGTGTGAGAGAGAGAGAAAGGGGAAGTGAAATAGAAATATATACAGAAAAGTCATACCTTACCATATTCAGTTCCTAAGTACCAAGTAGTATCTCATCAACAGTTAAACTAAATTATAAGTACAGAAGAAANAAAGATAGGATTAGATGAAATTTTCATCGGGGTGGGACACCGCATGTATCGTAAGTTAAGCTAATTTTGTGATCATTTTTCAGTCACTTCAAATAAATTTTTATTTAAATAACCATTTGCACATTCTGTTTATTATATCTTCTTGCAGTAGGTGTATTCCCTGCTTCAATAATTCATTCAAACCCTAAACAAACTGTTCCTAAATAGAGGTAGGGTCGAAATTCCACAAAAAAGGACGCCATTTTGAGGGTAATTTCGATATATTTTCTGCTTTTTCTCTTATTTTGCTTTTATAACAGCATCCTCCTTGCTCATGCAGCTTCTTTGATTTGTTATTGAAACATACACAACGATGTCATGAGAATTTGGTTGGCTATCTAAATTTAAATAACATTCTTGTTATGGCCCCCCTGCAGTGCACCACTAGCAAAGAATGACTGATACAGAAAAGTCATACCTTACCATATTCAGTTCCTAAGTACCAAGTAGTATCTCATCAACAGTTAAACTAAATTATAAGTACAGAAGAAAGATTTTAAAACTATTTAATATGTAAAAACAACTGGATAATTGTGAGTACAGAAAAAGATTTAAAAACAGTTTATGTATAAACAACTGGATGGATTATCAATGCAGTATTTTCTTGGTAGATTGAAGAGACTTGGCATCATGTGTACAGACATCACTTCTTGAAGGATGCCATCAGCAAAACACAGGAGTGCAAGAAGGGGTTCTATTATTATCAGAAAGGGTTCTCAGATGCAGGGGTAAGATGGTGTAGTTGGATATTCCCATGCACATCGTAGTGTAATATCATGAAATTTTATTAGTTTGTTTGGCAAAATTTCATGATTTTCACACAGTCTTTTTTCTTTTGAATTTCGAGTTTTTGAGTGCACCTTTTAATGTAATATCATGAAATGATTTTCATTTCTTTTCTTTTCACAAGAGTTTTTTTTTTTTTTTTTACAAAGACATTTTGTTCACTATTTATAATTGATTGTTATTTATGTTCATGTACAGCTGGAATGTCATGATGTTGTGCTGTTTTGGAGGATACAGAAGATGCTGCAGATCACAAGTAATGCCCTCAGACAACAAGTGATGAATAATGAAGGTAGGGCACCAGTGGCTCCCCCTAGCACTTTTATCTCTCTTCTCCCTATAAGTCTTTGTCTTTTCTCCCCCCCTCTCCATTTTCTCTCTCTCTAGGACAACTGCCACTCTCACTACTTGCCTCTCTTTTTCTCTCTCTCTCTCTCTCTCTCTTTTGAACACCAGACACTCTCATAACTTTTTCTTTCTCTTTCTCTTCCTCCCCCTCTCTCTTTCAGACGCACGCACGCACGCACACACGTGTTCACTCAATTACAGGTGCATGTGTACACACACTTGAGCAATTAATCAGCTGCCTTGATTATATTCCATCTCATTTATTACAGCTAGAAGACTAGAGAGGAACATCAAAGATGAGCTGGAGGAATACAGCGATGACAAACCTAAACTATCAAAACTGCTTACAGGGCGTAGGGTAACTCTGGCAGAGGAACTAAGTACGTACTTCTACTTGCATCATCAGAAA